CAGACGTCCTGCCTACAGCAACGGGACAGAAGAAGAGCGCGGCCTTGACATTGATCAAGCCAGACATACAGACACATCAACTTGTTCGGCTTCGGCTGGCGTGAGATCCACTCGTCGGAAAGGCGAAAGCCTAGCGAGGTCTCGATACGTCGCAGGTTGGTGTTGTCAACTACGGCGGGCCGTCACGCTCCGGATCTGATGTCTCGACGTTCGACGCACGAAAAGTCTACTGTGTCTATATGTGTTGGATCAAGTACGTGGCGTTTGAACTATATGGCAATTTGTTCGAGCCGGACTTATTTATGGCGACGAAGTACCCGTGCATCTCGCCCACAGGAACGAAAGTCCCCATCAGATCTCCAACCTCTTCCTTCATCTACTACGTTACGAAGCCGGTGTCACAGTATTACCACTCGACACCAGTCACTCTAGGGTGATATCTGACCAGTCGCGTTAGTCGCCAAGACGTATGTTCAGCATACCTATGAATCGGCGAGCGTCTACCCATCCGATCGAGCAGTTCTATTTCTGTTGCGATCGTCAATGCGGCTTTTGAGGATGTCCTTTGTCCGTAACATCATGCCCTTCGTTTCTCAGGAGAGCGGAGCGGAAACAAAGACTAGTCTCAGGAAGTCTTGTCACGACGTACAGAGAGAAGCATCTTGGCTTAACAACCCATGATGATTGTGTCCATTGGTGAGTGTTGCGTGTCTGTTGTGCCAAGTTGACTAGGATCTTGTTGTTCACGCCTGCTGGAGCACGGAGACGATGGTCTTGCAGCGATGAGAAGAGCTCTTAGTGTTGGAGTTGCGACGGCGCCTTCTATCGACACACGATCGCATTGACAAGTCCTACAACCTCGGATTGATCGGTCTGCATTCTTTGGCTTGGCCCTACAACAAGAGAGCTGAGCATGAGAGTCTGGAAACCCGACAACAGCATATTGGTGGACAGTGAAAGCGACAAAGCAGTGCTTTTCGAACCAGAAAATGGAGACGGGACCTCTCAAGAGTGAGGCTCAAGGTCTAGACCTGTCTGTCAACATTTCCTGCGACAAGTTCCTGCGGGCTCTTCATTCTTCCATCCAACTTGCTTCGCGGGCATGTCACCACCTTTCTTCGCCACGGTCTCTTGGCTTATGCCCTGGGCGCATTACCGCTTGATCACCGACGTCGTTCTTGGAAATGTGATTGGTGTGAAAATGGGGGAGCGTGGCATGGCGTCATCGTGGGTGGTTCAATGGCTGTCCTTCGGGATGGCCACCTCTTTTTCGATAAGTGTTCTGTCTGGGACGGCTAATACTACGCTAATCAATGCAGGTCCCGAAATTGGTTCTGGGCTACTCTAATGTTCGTATTGGGGCTTGCAGCTGCAGCGGGTGTACCCCTTGGGTGTGTCAGCCCTTGGCCAACCGAGTTCGTACCCATTCAGCCTATACGAACAAGCTACAAACACGAGTCACCAAGACCGCCACATTCCACACGCGACCCTCCTTGCTCGAAATATCATCAGTCGATATCCGTTGACTTACAGATTATACCGCGAACTATCGATCTTGAGCTGCCAAGCGTGATCATTCTCGTCAGCCTGAGCATACAGTTGGCGCAACAATGTCGACTACATTGCTTGGCTCGAAGTCTCTGCTGGACAGTGGGAAGAGGGGTGAAGTCTCGGTATTGACTGTCACTGATATGCACCAATAGGCAATCGGTCATGGACGAAGCGTGGTAGGGATTGCCAGGGCACGATTCGACGACACGCTGCAATACTGCGCACTGGGAATAGTACAACACAAACCTTGTTTTCGAATGCCAGTCCACCTATGAGTAAGCGACGCTACGTACTCTTCTGAGAAGACATTGACATAGCCATCTTGACAATGATCGATTCCTATACGGCCTGCGCTCATTCATACGACAGAAGCGACAGATGGTTCGAGCTTGACCGTGATTAAATGCACATGTATCACTCCGCATGCACCTATTTACGCCATGCTCGAGCCATCGCGAACCACGTCATTTACAGCTATAAGCTTCTAAAGCTGGGTATAAATCGAGATGTAACTCACGACAAATTCAACCCCACCACTTCACCGTCTTCAATCCTGAGCTCAAGATGTTGGGCTTTCTCGTTCACCTTGTTCTCGCGTTCATGTTGCCGGCTTTGGCCCGCGGCGATACGTGTTCATCAGTCGCTTCTCTTGGTTACATTACCGTGACGTATCCCCTCAACCTGGCCTACATTGAAGAACAAACCCAGTATTGGTCTACTTCGTGCTCTGCTCTCCTCCCATCTTGCATCATCTTCCCGAAGACGGTAGAAGAAGTCTCGACCGTGGTGCAAATCCTCGCCAACACCACCGAACGCTTCGCGGTCAAATCTGGTGGCCACAATCCCAACAATGGATGGAGTAGCGTAGCTGGAGGCCCTCTCATTGCTATGGAGCATTTCGATCAAGCCGATCTCGACCGCAGCACAGGTATCGTCGACGTAGGTCCTGGTAACCGGCTTGATGGCATTGCTGCTAAACTCCAAGGCACGGGCTGGACGTTTGTCGGCGGGCGCATCGGCAACACTGGAGTCGGCGGACTAGTACTGGGTGGAGGGCTCAGCTACATGTCGACGCAGTACGGATGGGCTGCGTCAAGTGTCCTCGAGTACGAGATTGTCTTTGCCAACGGCACTATCGGCCACATCCGGAACGACAATCACCCCGACCTATTCGTCGCGCTCAAGGGAGGTGGTAACAACTTTGGCGTCGTAACAAACTATAAATTGCAGGCTCACCGACAAGGCGACATCTGGGGCGGCAACCTGGTGTTTCTTCGCACGCCGAGCAAGGACAAGCAGCTACTTCAAGCAGTTCGTGACTGGACAGAGTACAACGAGGATGAGAAGGCTGCGGTCATTGTCACGGCTGAGCGAGCGAATCTTAACGTAGTCGACTCTTGGATCATCTTCTTGTTCTATGATGGTCCGACGCCCCCAGCCGGAGTTTTCGACAATTTCACCGATGTCAATCCCTTGCTTGATACCACCCGAACACGCACCTACGCCGATCTCATGGCCCTAAGCAACTGGGTTGTAATCAAAGGCAACGTCGTGGACATCGCCACAGAAACAATACCCTTACCTTCTCGCGGCAATGCAGTCGAGGTTATGGAAGGTCTTCACAAGCACTGGCGCGACATCTCTGACACCACACTACTCGTACCTGGCATCGTAGCATCCATTGCATGGCAGCCGTTCCCAAAGAAGATTGCGCAAAAGGCCCGGGAACTAAGCCCTGATCTGATCGACGCTGATGCAGACGTCGATCGCATTATCATCGAGATGAACTACGCTTTCACGCCGCAGTCGTTGTATGAGCAGATGGCTGACACAATGGAAGCGACTTATTCTGGCGTGAGAAACAGAGTTTTGGCGTGGCAAGCAGAGGGCAAACTACCGGAAGCGTATCTGCCTGTCTTTATGAACTATGGGTTCTTTCGGCAGGACTACTTCGGGAGATTGAGGCCTGAGAGCAGGGCGTTGGCGAGGAGGGTTGCAGATGCGGTGGATCCGGCGGGTTTGTTCAGGTCACGCACTGGGGGCTGGAAGCCATGAGCTTGGAATCATGATGATTGGTTCGAGCTTTTCGCTCAATATTGGATGAGACTATTCCTTCAAGAGCTGCTGCTGCATCACAGATCTTCTGGGGGTCGCGTGATCTTTGTTAGATGGTCCCCATTCAACTCTTTCATGATCTTTCCCAGGCCCTCATGACTGTAATCTTTCTCATTCCACATGTCCTACTCGATGTCAGTAGTGTTTTTCGAGATATGATAGGTTGCGCAGGTCTGCGTAGTACAGCAATCTCAATCTCTCAACGTACCTTGTGATAACGCACCTTGCCCTCGTGATCGAGCGTCAGTGTGATCAAGCTGTTGACCTTTTTCGCAATGGGCATAGGTTTGGGAGTGTACTCCTGCTGCAGTTTGAAGATGATCTCATCAGGCTTGGAGGAAATGATCTCAGTCTTGATCGTCCGACTGCTCTTCATGAGTTTTGGGATGCCTGTCAGGTGTTAGCGAAGCATAACTCCTCGTTCCAGTCTAAGTCTAGGCATTACTCACCATACCACTGCCCAGCGATCTTATACCTCGTATCGCAATAGCTCCATGGGTCATCATATACCGCCTCTTTACCATACACCATCATGTCTTCTTCGCTAGCGCTGCCAGAGTATAAGTTGCAAATAGACTGCACAATTCTCTCCCTCGCAGGCTCTAACTTTATCGAGCTTTCAGGGTGCGGCTCGTAGTCAACCCCCGAAGAGCTGTTTTGCGACTCATCGGCGTTGTGGGTTAATGCGACCGGGTCGGGTCGCTTCTCGAAGTCGTTCTCGAGGCGTGCCGCGAGTGTGTCCTTTCCGGACTTGCCCGTAACAGGAAGTGTCATATTCTCAGCTGGAAAGAAGAAGGTGAAGTCGTAGGGATTGTACGACTAATTCAAGAACTTCTGCTTCTCACGAACAATGTGTCTTGACGTCATGGCTAGCTACTTTGGGGTGTGGCTGCCCGATGCGAGACGCCACGAGCCTGTCGATGAAGCCGTGCCACAATACGAACTTGCGCAATCCCTGAAAGAGCGTGTTAGAGGGGTATTGACCACTGTGAAGAAAGACCGGGCCAATGCCATTGATCAAAAGCATGTGAGAGTCGCCAGAGGTATATCCTCAGATACTTTGATATGCAACGCGCAACGCCTGATTTGAGCCTCCTGTCGTTCACAACAATCATCATATCTCGAGAGCGTTCTTGATATGACACTTTCCTGTTGAATCTCTCGTGTTGCTGTCCGATACAGATCACAATGTGGGTAGTAACTTCCAAGCTGAAAGAATGAATCGATGTCGTACGCGATGCTGAGTACACCTCTGTGGCTTTTCTCGGAATACCTATCTGCATTGCATTTTGCTCCTAGGAGGACAGTGATGGTCCAGTATTACGAAATTGGCCCTATCCTTCGATGTGGATGGGCCATTTCTCTACAGCCTCATAAAGCATCAGCAAACTGCCCATGAGATATACTGTAGGTGCCCATACCAGAGCCAGTGTACTCTGATACTCGCACCACCCTGTGCTACAATATCCCAAACAAGCACTCCAGATCCAACCTATGCTACCCACCAAGTTTGTCATTCCAACCCACCACCCGACCATGCGCGGCGCGGGCTTCCACCACTGGCGCTGCACTTCGAACAGGTATAGTATGGAAGCGACGAGGAAGCAGATAGCCCCAAGCAGGAAAGAAGGATAGTATAGCCCATAGAGCACACCTTGCGGGAGGTTCTTGTATACACCTGGTAAGGTGAGGAGATTCGTGACCCAGTAAATTGCCGTACCAATGAAGAGTATGAGGTTTGCGTTGAAGCCGATTTCCCGACGATAGTGAACGCGAACATCCTGCCACGTGGGCCACCATTTCCAGGCCTGCTCAGGCCCTGACTGAGGACAAGCCTCCACCTTGAACGTCTTGGTGTGCATTATTCGATGTTTCATGCGGTCGGGGTTGTGGATATGGGTGCAGTTTCGACGGTCGGGTTGGAAGCCGGAAGGGTTCTCCGTCGCTTTCTCTTCGTCCGGAGACGCGAGCTCGATGTTCTCATTGTCGGAGTTCAAACTTTCCTTGAGCGCCCAGCCAAAGCAGTCGCTCTGATTGGCGTTCACCGCTTCGACTACAAGGAGCATGCCGCCCAGCAGGAACAACATTCCACGGAAGAAGGATATCGCGCCGCTGACAGTGCTCGGGTCGGCGGCGAATCGCCTATCTGGATATGCGACTGGAAGCCATTGAAGGACGCCAGAGGTGATGGAGCATATCGAGCCGACAGTAAAGACGACGCCAACCCACCACGAAACGTCCCACCAGGCTATGACTGTGATCATGCGCACAAGCGCTCGAAGAAGGCGGGTAGTACGTGCGGTGCGCGAGGGTGCTTGACCGTGACTGAGGAGAAGGATGTGCCGGCCTGAAGCAGAGACTAGTCAGTACAATCTTCGGCTTATACATAACATAGCTGTGTACGCACCCTTTCGATTCTCGCGACTCCACCACTCCCATTCCGTTCCGCTCGCGTGTCCATCTTCGTTGTTGACGGCATAGCGCCGTGAATTGGCATTTTGGAAGTTCAGGACCTTGTGCGAGCTACCGTGAACGTAGTCTAGCTGCTGCGACGAGTCCTGGAGACAGTCTTTGTCATTGCTGGGTGCGGACATGGCTCGAGAATTGCGCGAGAAGAGAAGACCACGATCGGGCTATCCCTGTGTGAGGCTTCATGCCTTTCAAGGTTTGTCGTCGCCATAGCTTCTCGCATCATCTTGGGCCCCCGTGAAACGCGTCCTGAAAGCGGTAAATCAACCCATCGACGACAAGATGATGATGGGTGATGTCATGGTGTGGGGAGTTTCGCGTCGATCTTGGCAGGGAAGCTGCCAGCTAGCGTCTGGGGTTCCACATGTCGCTGGCCGGCTCTTAGGTCAGTGACAAGACGCAATCGCGGATACTCAACATCAAGGATGAGCGCGAAGACCAGGCGAAACCCTCCCCCGTTTGTGATGAGTTCTTTCGGCCCGCAGAATCATCCATGATCCGGTGCGCGATTGGAACCGCAGCCGGGCACGTATGAGCATGTTTCGTGAAACAAACCAAGCTACCGGAGAACACCCATATCAGTAATCAGTCTTACATTCCTAGGAGACAGCGTGCACGAATAGAAGTAATGTCAAGCAGCCGAGTCAGAGAGCTCGGGATAGTGCGATGCGATGGTTCCTGCATCTTACGCTCATGCCCCGTCCTGCATTTGTCGCCCATCAATTCCGAGGTCGTCGTGCAACATGCGCGGACTATGCAGTACTTGCAGTACCTGCACTGTACAGCTTAGGTTCAATCTATCGAATGACACATGCGCTCTGGCATCCTCGAGGAAGTCCGGCAAGTTAATCCTCCCCACAGTGGAAAAGCACTCGCAGACGGGTGTCCCATGTTCATCGCGTCTACATGAAAGTGCCACGCGTACGACAACTCTTGGCTTTTGTGTATAGTCCGCTAATACATCCCGTTGATGAGATTCGCGCACTCAAGCCGATAGAGAACTAACAATGGCTTCATTTCGGGCGCATGGCAGGACGGGTGCTTCGGCGCCGAAGCGTAATCATGCAAACAACACACCAATGGTTTGGACAACGCGGAAGGCGATGGGATAGCTGATTACTGACCAGACATGAGGCAGAAGACATGCGCTGTATTTCTGGATATAAAGCCGGTGCCCTGATACCTAAAGTCCTTACCACGCTCATTATACACAACTATCCGCCACTCACCATGCTTCGCCGCCAGTCTGCCAGGCCTAGTGGTCTACTCGCTCTCATTTCCAACATCGTTCTTTTTGGATCCCTTCTACCAGTTGCTGCAGCCCAGAATGATGCCACCAAACTCAGAGACTGCCTGAGTAGCTCGAGCATCTTGGCCTCCTTAGCGACCTTTCCTGATGCTACGAACTGGGAGTCTATAACCTCGCCATGGGCTCTGCGATTCAACCCAGAACCGGCCGCAGTTGTTGTTCCGCGTAACCAAGACGAAATAGCCGCTGCACTGGCATGCGCTGTAGATGCGGGCGTCAAGGTCTCCCCACTAAATGGAGGACATTCCTACGGAGCTTATGGGCTGGGTGGTGTGGATGGAGCACTTGTGATCAACATGGAGCGCTTCACGGAGACTACCTTTGACGAGGCAACTGGTCTGTTCACGTAAGTGATCTCGCAATTAAAACCAACGTACTCTATGCTAATAATCATAGCTACGGTGGTGGAAGCCGAGTTGGGCCAGCTGCAACATGGCTTTGGGAGAACCACGGGCGTCACTTCCCCCACGTCCGAGCTAACTGGGTGGGCCTTTCTGGATCCTCTATTGGTGGCGGCTTTGGAACCACCAGTCGTTTTCTCGGTGTCCCTATGGATAATCTCGACAGCGTCAGAGTGATGCTGTACAACGGCACAGTGGTGACTGCTTCTCGCACGGAAAACCCAGACCTGTTCTTCGTTGTTCAAGGCGCAGGCTCTTCTTACGGTATCATTCTGTCTCTGACAACACGCACTTGGAAACCAGAGTTTGACATCGTCACAAACTTCACGATTTCACTTGGTGCTGTCGACCTTGACACAGGCGCCCAAGCCCTGATCGACATCCAGGACTGGGCCATGACTAAAGCACCTGATACCTTCGCTCTGCGATGGCAACTGGCGGGCGAATGGAATGGTAGTGGCTACTTCTATGGTAACCCGAACGAGTTTGATGCTCTATTCGCTAGCCTTGTCGAACGTCTCCCAAACACTACCACAACTACCGTGCGTACGGCGGATTTCTGGGCTATGGAGAATTTTGCCGTTCCACAGCTCAACGGAACTACAGATGCCTTCCCTCCGCGCAGCATGTACCTGCAAGCACTGGTTCTGCGCAAAGATCAGCCTTTTACCTTCGAGTCCGCCAAAGCGCTCTACCAGTACACAACGCTCGCCTTCAACCGCACTGATCTAACTGAATTTGGATTCTTGGACCTATGGGGTGGCGTGTCTAGGGATGTTGACGACTCAAAGCAGGCGATGGCTTACTCCAACAACCAGTGGCTCATCCGCTGGGAAGGACGTCTTGCTAACGGCCTGACCCAATGGCCTGCTGACGGCATTGAGTATATGCAAGCTGACTTCCGACCTTTCCAGGATCAGTTGAAGAAGGAGGGTGTACCACTAAGGGGGTTTGTGAACTACAGAGATACAGAGCTCTCCGTTGAGGAATGGAGCGTGAGGCTATACGGGGACAACTTCGAGAAGATGAAGAGGATCAAGGCGAACCTGGATCCACAGGGTGTCTTCACGACGCATGCGCAGAGTATTCCCTCATCCTGAGTTATCGGCAAAGGAACTATCGAGGGAAGCCTCTTTGGAAAGGTTCGTCGTACGGGAAGGCTTGTCACGTCGGTATTTAGCATTTGCATGTGTACAGGTAGTCGACTGTCAGCGAAGTCAAGTTCAGGTCATTCACGCTTGAGGGCGATTTGTAAACATCGAGTAAGAGGTACTGCTACAAGTTCTTGACAACTTTCGATGCACAGAACCAGCCAGTCTGATTCATTAAGTTTATATTATATACAAGAAGATGCACTGTCTTGGAGACCCCATATGGTGAACCAAGAACAAGCGCTGAGTGTCTAGCAAGTCAGCTCGAAGAACGGGTTGTTGTTCTGTAGGGGTGTAATAGCGAAAGACAGATCGGTTTGGGCGGCGTTGGCATCTTTCAAGGTGTACCAGAACGTGGTACGGCTGCCAAAGAGCGAGCAGCCAACTTCGTCCCAGTAACGCTTGGAGTTCTCAAGGGAGGCAACAGCGGAGCCAGAGTTAGGGCCAACTATACTTGCGTTAGTATGATAGTCTAGGGGAGTACTGAAGAACAACTTACTTCGTGGCCATCCGGTCTCAGTGACCCAAACAGGCTTTCCATCAGATACGCTCTCAGTCTGACCAAGACCGGCGAAGAAGTTCTCACGTGCCAGGTCGATCGAGTTGGGCCTCGTGGTCTCGAAGTATGGGAATGAGTTGTGACCAAGCCAGTTCACGGCTTGCGCAACACCGCGGTTTTCGGGCAGAACCCATGCAGTGAATGTGTCGACATGGCCGATAGGCTTGCCCTCGAGCGCGGTGCCACGGATCCAGTCACGCATCCAACCGATGTAACCCTCGATCTCAGCGCCAGTAGCACCAGCACCAGCGTTGTTCTGTACACCTTGCGGGCTGCTGCGGTACAAGTCCTCAGACCCTACACTGATGCCGATGATCTTGTCTGTGAAAGCGGTTCCAAGTTCCCTGGCGCCACGAATCAAGGCGTTGAGTTCGTTCTCGTATGCCGCACGTCCGGCACTGGCCCAGAGACCAACGAGGAGTTGGGTGTCGGTGTCGATGGCTGCTTGGAAGGCAGAGATGGGATCGGCCGCGGTACCGCATTGAACCGAAGTGTAAAGACGTGCTGTGTTGAAGCCCGAAGCTCCAGACAGGCTCTTTGCCTCATTGAAGAAGCGAACGAAGTCGTTGTAGCCGCGGCATGATCCGTCTGCGTTGGTGGCACCGTAGTTGAAGCCTTTGCTCTGAGCGACGGCGGTGGTCGCAAGGGCGAGGATAGAAGCAGCTTTGGCCCACATGTTCAGAATTAAGAATAGGGTATTAAGTCTAGTAAAACGAAGGGATACAGGTGCAAAAGCCAGGGATGGAGCAACCTTTTATTCCACTGTAGAGCTGAAGTTTAAAATAGAAAGTTTGCCCCTGCGCATCAACGCTGGCTGCATGCCAATCCAGATGACGTGGATGAGGCTCGTACTTTTCTTTGCCAAGCGTTGTTGAATGGCGATCTGCCGAGCGCCATGCTGGGCGAAAAGCCCTTTCGAGAAGTCTCCCTGTAGACCGTTGCGCGAGGCCTTGTCTACACAAGCAAACAAATGATTGTGTGCGACGCAAGCTGGTGTGCGTTTGCGCCCAAGAAGTTGGGCAAAGCTGGGGAAAGTCCCCAGGATGGCAGCTAGTTCTCGTGATGATGCAGCCCTCGGAGGCGACCGTCGACATGTGCCATGCGCATTAGCACGAATACGATCGATATCCCGGGCAGCCGAATCGGATTTGCGCTGGTCTCGAACGCGCGGTGTGGTGAGGATGCGGTCAAGTCGCAGCTGCCCAGACGGAAGATGTGGGGTAGGCAATCATAGCGCCGCGAGGGTGCGGACCAAATTGCATGGCGGACAATTTCCCGCCGGGACAGCCTCGCTGCCCTTCGCCCTTCGACATTCTTTACTAGTCGTGGCACCAACGAATTATCGCTGTGCGACGACGTTTGCCAACTGTCATTCACGCAGTCAAGGAATAAAGGCTGCGGGACAGAACTTGGATCATACTCAGGTACATGCTGGAACGCTGACCTGAGGCGGTGCGGTGGCTCACCGGTTGTCTAGCGAGGCATGGGCCTTGGTGAGCCTGAGCATTCGCGCACGGTGCGACAGATGTCGTGCTGCTGGTCTAGAGCCTTTCTTTGATTTTGAGGGCTCCTGAACAAAAGATGAACTTATTCTCGTCTTCCATCGTTGACGGACGGTGGCGGTGCTCAGGTGTCGTAATGTCGCGTTGATCGCGCTGGTGCCGCCGAGGTAAACGTTGCAACATTCCACTCACGGACACGATAA